ATTCGTTCAGGTACTGTGGCAAAATTTTTTCAGTCAATGGCAGACCACGCGGTTCCGCGCCATATAAAACTGTATGTTGCATGCCTGACGAAAGAATGGAAATATAAAGTTTCGTACTTAGTTCGGATGCTTTACTAGCACTAAGAGGAATCACTTGAAATATTTGGGCAAATTTGGAAAAATTGGGTAAAAAAAACTCGTATGCCTAAAAACATCTTTACTTTTAAAGAATTTTTACTGCATCACATTTTTTCTCACCCGTGTGTATTGGATATTTTCCTGTCATTAGCGCCGATCTGGAGGGTGTACATATTGGATTTACATAGTAGTTATTTAATATGAGTCCGGAAAACGCTAAGGCATCAATGTTAGGTGTTGGAATCTGCGCTGAGCCATGGAAGCCGACATCATTAAAGCCCTACAGCGTTAATATGTAATCTATTATGAGTTTCGCCAGTAAATTTTCAAATCAAAATACTATTTAAATTTTTTATGTACATATGTACTTACTAAATCGTCTGCTAAAATGAAAATGATATGTGGACGTTTTTCTTGGTTATTACTCGCATTATTTTGTGCTATCAAGATAAGTAAACAGAGCAGTAGTATAGTGGGGATTGATTTCGTAGGACTCATTTTGTATTGGCGCTGAAAGAAAGAAATTTTGAAAATTGGAAAAATCTTGAAAAATTTGCCATGTAAATACATATTTATTAGGACACCCGTTAACCTTTTCTTTCCATGCTTGACGTTAAATTTTTAGGTAATTGAATTTGGTTTTCTCTACGTACTATATTATCCAAACTTGTATGAAATATTTATCGAGTTTTTTATATTTAAAGGGATCGTAGTCTTCTTGGTGCGGGTAGGTGCATTATCTACAAATTTTAAAGTCCTTGAAAAAAACCTAACTTCGAGGATAAAAATTAACATAGATTTCTAGGTGTACTTCGCTTAAAATGTTAAATTTAGGAAAAATTAACAAAAACTGTTATTACTCAAATAAAATCTAATTATTATTAAGCTTTTTTTTATTATTAGTTCGCGGCATCACTTGTCAGCTTGCTAGTTCTACTCCACGGAACACAAAAATATTGTTTAGTTTTTTTCTTTAAATACTACACTACAAACACATTAAATAACAACAAACAAACACACACACAATATGCAAATTAACTAATTCTTATTAGACAGACCTTGACCTTTATTTTCTATATCTAATTTTGTTTATTTATATTAACGCAACCTTGCACCAATTCTGACAAAATAACAGCTAATCATACACACGACTTTAAAAGCGCACTGAAAGCACAGGGTTGAAACTTTCAAATTGTTATTTGGTAATTTTTTGGTTAATATATGTATGTATGTACTTTTATAAAAGTAACTGATATCAAGAATATATCGCTATAAAAATCTTGAATTTATGCCAAAAAAAAGTCCAATTCCGGCCAGTGTGCAACGTTGGATGAGCGCAGCCGCGATAACCTATCCTAACATAGCCCAACAACCTAAGCTTACCAGTGTTATGATAAAAGAATTATAATATTTAGCTAAACAAAATTTTTTATTGTTGTCCAGTTTGAAATGTCTGTAACTGTACGCATCACATTTTTCTCAAGCAAATCAATTTATTTAGACATTCTCTTCTCCACGTGAATCTATCGGCCTTAAAAAAGCGGATGCGGCTGTCAAAGCTTTGACAATGACTCGGTTTGCAAATTGTTTATTGTTGTAAATGGATATTTCCGTATGAATCGATCTTCGATAAAAAAAAATTGAGTTACATCTAAGTAATCACAATAGGATAATTACATTGGCAAAAAGTACGATATATATAAATATTTACACTGCCAGAAAAAAGTGTTGGCACAGAAAATTTTTCACAATATATAAAACAATTTTTAATTTAATTTTTTCCCGCTAATCTATATACTTTTATGTACATTAGGGAGGAGTAATTTGTTCGGAGCAAAATTTTCGAAGAAAATGTATAGCAACTTCAAATTCCACGATTAATTCTAAACAACAATGGCGAACAATCTATAAACCAAAAATGACATTTGACCCTCCCAATTTTCAAAAGAAAAAGTATATTGAATGAAGAAAACACAAAATAGTGTAAATGCAAATTAGTTTCTTTCAGAAAAAATTTTAATACAAAAATTTTTCTTTTAAAAATTGGGAGGATCAAATCTCATTTCATAGCTTGTTCGCCATTTTTGCTTAGAATCGAAAGTAGAATTCGAATATGCCATGCCCTTTTTCGAAATTACATTATGTTCGTTTGTTCGAGGTGTTTTTGGATTGTTCGGTATAATATCGCTATCATTTAAATCAGGTTGCCACTTGTTTGCGAAATTTCGGTTAAATAAATTAATAAAACAAGTGAAATATTACAATACGGTTTTAAACCAAAGCAGTTTAAGAAGGCTTACAGTCGAAAATAATTTTTAAAAAGGGTGCCACCTGTTTCAAAATTTTAAACTCAATTTAATTGTGAACAAATAAATGAAATATTACTGTATGGGTATCAAATTAAAAATATTTAAGAACTTACTTTTGAAAATATCTGTGGGAGGGTTGCGACCTATTATAAAATTTTATATCAGTTAAATTGTTAAAATAAATTAAATATTGCAATGTGGGTATCAAACTGAAGGGTTTTAAAAAGGCTTACAGTCGAAAATATTTCCGAGGAAGATTTCCACCTGTTGGTTCATACTACAACAAAAAACATAAAAATATATTTTCTAGACTTCGTGCTAAACTCAGGAAAATTCCATATATTTTCATGCGAATTTGATTAAAAATTTTTTTCGGGTATGCTGGCTTATAGTCCATTGAATTTGAGTGTAGCAAGTTTGAACTAGCTAGGACTTACCGTTGATTTTTGGAAATTTTTTTTACGCTTTTTCTTCCACCCTTTATATGGAAAAACTGTGAAATATTTTCAACAAAAAAATCTCAACGAATCTCCCTTGGTATGTAACATTTTGCACAAAGAAATTTTATGTTCACGTTTTTGTTGTAGTTTAACCCTTTTTTAAATTAGCGGAAAAAAATGTTATTAAAAATTGTTGCATGTATTGTGAAAAGTTCTTTGTGTCAATACTTCTTTCCATTGTAAGAATATACGCATATATACATACGTACATCGGTTTTTTTTTTTTTTGAAGATGACCACCAATAAAGGGAGAAAGCAAGCTCAGCAACTGGGAATTGGTCTAACTTATGGTTACGTAGCTGAGCAATCGAACACAGAACCGACTGCTAATATTCGCCACACAAGCACTCGTACACCTGGCACCCAAATAATTGTTGTTTTTTTTTTGCGTGGCCAGTAGACTCTGCATATCAATAAAGTACAATCTGTTTTAACATCATATGTGTGGAAATAAAGCGACTGCGTTCAAAGCCATGCAGTTACAGTGTGTAAGAAAAAAACGGAAAAATAAATTATTAAATGAACAAGATCTTAAAGATTGCATTTATGTATATTCTTCAAGGAAAAAATAATAATATTTGCACCGTTCTTTATTTTGAGCTACATAAATTTTGATTTATTTTGTGTCCCGCTTGTTACAGTTTTACAAAATTTAACAGTGGAAATAATGGATTTTCGTTTGCACGAATTGTGTTGGCACAGTTTTAGTAAAATACGTGACATATAATTTATTTGAATTATTAAGCAAACATCTTTTGCGACACATCAAACTCAGTTAGCGATTCGTAAAAAAAAAATAATCAATGGACGTTAGTTGTAAATATAATCAGAGGATTTTATTAAAAAATCATCGAAGAAACTAAATTTGCTTAAGTACGTATGCAAATACATACACTAGACCGTAGCACCGGTTATTCTAAAGTATATTTAGAAGGCAATTTACGCCAAAAAAATGTATTTGGGCAGCGTAGGGTTCGCCTTTTGAGATAAAATACTGGCAATGACAAAAAATTTTGTAATATCTTTCCTTTCAATGCGCCACAGTCACTTTTACAAAATTACCAAGTGGATTTAGTAGCTGTGTTATCTACTTACACACATACATACATATGAGTTGGTCGCATATTTGACTATCTAGGTAATTCTTTGTGTAAATATATACTTTTTGAATGTTTTTTTTACACTGAAGTACATTCACCTTTATTCTGATGTTTTTTCGTGTGAACATTAGTATGAGTCGCGAAAAAAAGTTTGTAAAAAAATTTATGTATGAAGAAAACTCGATTTGTATGTTTTCAGGGCGTGTCAATAAAGAAAGTTCGTATGACCCCAAAAATATTTTCGAATAAAGCTTGCACACTGTGCGAAAGGGGAGCTATTGGTAATTTTTTGCCGTAGTTACAAACTTTTTTGTTTCGAATGAAGCCGACCCGGACTAATATACATATGTATGTACATACATAAAGGTGTTTGTGTAAGTCACACAATACCTCCAAACAAGGAACAACAACGGGTTGGCATTCATTTCTTCATTTATTGTTATGATCGTTTTCTACTACCAAAGGAAAGTAAAGCCAAATATTTACTTATAAACAAATATTTATAGTCCCTTACATGCCGGTAGTGCAAATAAAAATTTGTACATTGGCTATAAATTCGAAGGCGCTATTGATGGCAGAAATGTTTGTTTCTGAACAATATGTGAAAAAAGTAGAACATTCCAAGTGCGTTTGGGGTTTTTAATGGGATTTTAACTTCACATAGACAGCTTAATTTTTCCGCCACTGTAACCAATAAAATAATTTCAATTTATCGGAATAAAAGCATGCACACAAAGGCCCTAACCAGCAATTTTATTATTTTACAGTAGAAATAAAAAACATTATAAAAAGAGTATCACACACAGGTAGGATACATCATTCCAAAATCTGTGAAAAACGCAATTTCGAAAAAAGTGTTGATTAGGGCCTTTTTGAATTAAAATTACGATACATATATACATATGTATATTAAATTTACGATTTTTTTTAACTAAGAATATTCTTGTTTCCAGGCACATAGTGAAAAATGTATGGGAAATTTGGTTTAGCAAAAAATGCGAAATGGAGTAAGCCCGCAGGTAAGTGAAGAATTCGACTTTTAGTTAATGAACATAAAAACAAAGTTCTACAATTATCGACGCGAGCAAAGAAGTTGCTTGAATTAAAAACTGCACATCAATTTTTGGTTTTTTTTTGGACATGAATTTTTGGTAATACAAAACTAGGCAAACGCGTTCGGCAATTTGAAAGGTAGACGTAAACGCTACAAAAATTGTATGCCCAGTCCTTTAAAGAAAAAATAGTTATGTCCAGTTTTAAGTTGGCCATAAATTGATGTCCAATTTTCGAATGACCAAAAGTTTTAGTAATTTAAAAATTGAGAAATTATTTCAAAACTTAACATATATTTTCGGTAATTGAGTACAGGTAAAATTTTTGATATTTTGAAAATGTCTGATTCAAAAACAACCTATCTCATTAAACGGTTGAGAAATTACCTATTTCAGAATTTGGCAGAAGAGCGACCTATTTTAGAATTTGATTCAATAACGCTCTATCTCAGCAAATGGTTCAAAAAAGAAGTTTCTGAGCTGCCAAAATTGGTTTTATATTGAGATAGGTCATTTTCGAGAGAGTGTTTTGAACCAAATTCTGGGAACTGACATCTACTACTGGCTGTGCTTTTAAATTACAACAAAAAATTTCTAGTTTTAAATTATCAAAATAAGCAAAATTTTGTATTTGCAAAAATATATATCCAGTTTTTAACTGACAAATAATGTCCAGTTTTATAATTAACAAAAAATTTGTGACCACAAACATTATATTCCGTTTTTAAATTACTAAAAAACCAGTCCAATTTTCAAATTGCATAATATTCATGCCCAGTTTCTAAACACCAATAGCCCATACATATTCATGTTTTCAATAACCAAAAATTTATGTCACGTTTCAACAAAGTTTGTTGTCTAGCGTTTTAATTAATAAACTCTAGTTTACACAAAAATTATATCCAGTTATTAAATGAATGAAATTTTATTGGAAATTTTTAAATTACGTAATGTTCTTGTGCAGTTTTAAACACCAATAATTCATGTTCAGGTTTTCAATAACCAAAAATCGATATAAAGTTTTTTATGTACCACAATTTTATGTCCAGGTTTTTAATTCGCCAAATATTATATGCAATTTTTAACTTACAAAAAATTATGTACATTTTTTAACTAACTACCAAAAATGTATGGTCAGCTATTAAATTATCAAAAGTTTGTGTTCAGTTTGTGACTACCACAACTGTACTACCTACCAAAAATTTATTTCCAAAACCTTATGCGTAGTTTTTATATCACTAAAAATTGGTGTCCAGTTTTTAGTTGCCAGAAATTTGTACAATTCTTGATTACCAATAATTTATGTCCTGTTTTTCAATTATGTACCAAAATTGTATGTCCAGTTTTTAAAACCAAAAGGGTATTTCCAGATTTTAACCACCACCAAAAAAATCATGGACTGAAATTAACAATTAATAAATTCCGAGAATTTTTTATTTATAGATCATCAACATTTTTAATAACGACATTTTTTAATATATGTTTTTTATCAAGAATACCTAATGGTTAAACTTTTATTTATATTTTTTCGATAAAAGAATAATCGTTATTTTTGGATATTTATTTTTTCGATCATTTTTAACCCTTTATGGGCTGTAAGCCTACAATTAGAAATACATATGCCTGAGGAATTTGGAAACTCTTCATTCTTTTTAAAGGATAAAACATAGGATTTTTCCTAGAAAATTATAAGAAAGATATGATTTTCTTACAATTCAATTTGAAACCAATTATTCCCCCAATTTTTTTCTGAAAATTGCTCAATATTCAAAAAATATTTTCCAACAATGTATGTATTTATATATATATTTTTTTATATTAGCTCTAGAAATATTTATTTCTGAAATTGTATCACAAAAATTTAAATAGATTCACACAATTTCCTTATGCGTAGTGAAACTCTTTGGAAAGCATGTTTCCCTTGGCCCATAAAAGGTTAACCGCTATAAGAAAGGCTGCATTTTAGCGACCGCTTTAAATCTTAAACAAATTGAATCTGATAAAGGCTATGAGATGTTGGAAAAAATAATTATAATTTTTATTTCGAAAAAATAAAAATCAAAAAATAACGATTAGATTAGATATGAACAATTTGAGCCCAATTTCAACCTTTAAATTATGCTCTTTATTATAAAGATCATAACCGTTACGCCCCCTGAAAAAATTCATTAAAAACTGTCTGTCACTTTAAATTTAAATTTCTTGGGCGTTGATGGGTTAAATTGACGATTAATGTATCTTAATTTAATTATTTCACTCATTGTCGATTCAAGTAATAACAATAATTTATTTTTTATGCATTCAATGCACTGCTTTTTGAATAATTAGTAACACAGCTTGGACACACGAACACACTGTGAATTGCTGTATATTGAATAGCTTTACTTTGCGCTTTAACTTATTGATTCAAGCAATTTTTTAATGTCTAAAAACTTATATTTATTTTAATATCAATTGATTTTAATTTTTTATTTTGTCTTATTTAATCTAATTTTATTTATTTTTATTTTATTTCATTTCGTTTTGTTTTATTTTATTTAATTTCACTTTTATTGTTACTATTATTATTATTATTTTTTTTTGATTTCACTGAAATTTCTTCATGATTCATTTCATACTTTCTAATAAGTAAACATTCACAAGCGAAAATTTCACCTACGCTCTATAAGGTCTCTTACTTTTTTGTGCTTTTGATAGTCACTCCACCTTTTAAGTACAATTAGCATATAATTAATTTCATTCGCCTTTTAAATTTATTATTTATAGCTTTTCTCAGCCACTTTTTACGGCTGTCGGCTGTTGGCGCGCACTGCTAAATTCAAACTGAATCGAACCAGCGCCAGGGCAACATAACACTGCTGTATGCATACATGCATACATACACATACATATGTACATTTATTTTTTTGTAATACTCAATGTTAGTAGAGCAACGTTTGCATAACTGAGAGTTAAAGGCCGAGATTCTCGCCAAAATTTTGTCCTTTTCTTCAATTATTTTTGGGGGCGAAAAGGCTCTCAATATCCTGCCAAAATATGGTCGTTGCTAGTGAGTTTTTTTTATTTTATTTTTTTTTTTTATTTTTTTTTTTATTCGGTTAGCAATCGAACACACAACCCTCAAGAAATTACCGGATATGCCACCTACAAATGCACTTATCAACGGCTGGCGCGTACAGAACTTTTTTTTTCTACGTATAAAATGTATTCAAAGTCAATAGACAAATCGTTTCGCACTTTCATGTGTTTAATTATAGCCGAACAATTTGCCGTGGTAAATTTGAGATAATAACCCAATTTTTATATTTTCCACCTAAAATTAAATCAAAACACCGCTTTTTTTCATTAAAAAAAATGATTCTTCTAACTGTAATGCCAGTACCGTTGCGCTTTACGCCCAAAATAATTTATCTCAAACCAAATACGCACACGAAAATTGAACTAAACTGCTGCGAAAGTCATCAAACACAAGCTCTTTATGCGTTTAATAAGTTAACAGGTGGCTGTTAAGCATTTAACATTCATAATGTTAAGTTAACATACCACTGTTGAAATTCATGTCAAGCGTCGCAACTGCTAATTTATGTTACTGTTTATGCCTTTCGAAGCTTGCCTTTTCGATTTGTTTGCTAAAAAACCATATTAAACAAAAGTTAAAGAAATATTACACAAAGTTGTAACATCAAATACCGGCACCAGTTGCTCTCTAACAGTTATTACAGACAATTTGTATTAAAATTTTGCCGACCGCGTTCAACGGCTTAGGAAATGAGGAAAATCAAATGCAAATTGGGAGATTAGTTGATTATGAATTTTTAACACGCAGACGCTGTGGGCGTGAATATGCAAATGGGCAAATTGAAAAGCAAAAGTAAATAGAAAATGTCAGCAACAGTAAAGGAGTCGTTGTCAGCTGGCAGCATATAAAGTACATACACACACTTGTGGTCAGCTGATTAAGTCAAGTGACATTTTGACTAGTTTTGGCTATTTTTCCTTTGTTTATTTAATGTTTATATATTTTTTATAATAGTTTAGCACTTTACCCTAACCAGCGCCTCATAAATCCACATTTCAAACCTCGTGTAAAAATGATGAAAATTCAAAAAACCTAAACATTTGCATCAACAAACTTTAAACTTTTTAAATAGAATTTTCAGAAAAATTTTGGGTATGCAGTTTTGCAGTTCAATAAATTTTAGTATGTTAAAGTGCAAATTTCAAAATGCTAGAAAATCGCGTTGATTTTAAATAATTTTTATTTTGCTGATGCTGCTAGGCATTTTCTCCCATACAAACGAAATTGTCGAGCATATTTTAAAAAAATTATTAAAAATCGACGCGTTTCTCTGGCGTCTTAAAATTTGCACCTTGACCTACTAAAATTTAATGAGTTACAAAACTGCATATGCAAAATTTTTATAAAAATTCTAAATAAAAACTTTCGGGTGCAAATGTTAAAGTTTGTTGAGTTTTCACAATTTTTTTACAATGTTTGAAATGTGGATTTATGTATGTGGCGATGTTTATAAAAAAAACATATAAACATTATATAAACAAAAGAAAAATAGCCAAAACTAGTCAAGATGTCACTTGACTTAATTAGCTATCCACAAGGGCATATGCTAGGTACATCCCAATAAACATAAACATACATATTCCACATATTGGATACATATTCCAATTTTCAGTTTCGAAAAAAATCTGAGCTCTCCACTTGAGAAAAGCTTGCATATCAATTTGAAATCAATCTTTATTCAATGTTTGATCAAACCTTGAGAATCAATAATGTCTTAAAGTTTGGAAAAAATACCCCAATGAACCTTCGTCAGGTATCATCGACAATTTCCTGCTAGGCATATTTTTAGCACTTTGGTGTGTGGTGGGGGAGTTGTCGATTTAAGTAACTACACAATCCTGAGCTGGCAATAACCATGTATTGTCTCGTGAGACGTTTGCTTCCTCCGAGCCGATGTTAGCCGGTTCAATCTTAGCCCTGCCTAGAATCGGCTAATCCTTCAATCGTTGTCATCAAGCCCAACATACGTTGGGCCCAGGAAACGTTTCGTCGGGGTCGGACCAGAAGGAGATGAGTGTGTGTTAAGTTGGGTTGAGGGAGCGTTTGAAGAGGGGGTTCGTGTCTTGGGGAGAGCCTTCACATGCCGGACATATATTTGGTACTTCGAGTCTAGTCTGGATAAGTAACAGTTTAAAGCTGCTACAATATGCAGACCGATATTGTAACTATAGTGGGGGAACGCTTTGGCAGATCCACCGGACTGGTCTCTCACAGGTGGCCAGTTTGGGCCACGTGTTCTCATCATTCCCGTCCTTTTATATAGCGCAGGAACATGGACGATGTCGAACTCAGATGAGAGGGCTTAGGGGACCTTCGTGTGAACTATTCTAAGTAAGGGTCTGTATACGTTTTTCGAAGAATTTAATGAGTATCAAACTGTTAACGTCCTAGAGTTCCTCCAGTCCTCTGTAGTTTACTACCACCGGATTCAAGGTTACAGCAATTCGGAAGTTTCCAGAGGAATCGGATCAGGGCTAGCGGGTTCTTAGTTGAGTAGTTTTAAGCGACCAGTGACAAGCTGAACATGTGTTGGATAATGTCGGTGTTGATTCTGGATAAGTAGATTAACCTGCTACGTCCAGAATGACGGGGGTCTCACAAGGCAACTGGAGCTTTTCTTCTGCTACAGGTGGGGATTGGGTTCAAATTATGGCATTACCGAGACGAGAACTCAAGAGGATAGTGTGTCTTGACTTGTCGTATTGATGAATGTCTCTTATACGGTGTTCGTATGTGGCAATTTTACAGGCAACTTTTAGTTGAAAGCAGCAATCGCCTGGTGTGAACGGCCTTTCAACTAATTGCTTCCAATGACGTTGGGATGCAGCCAGCTTTTGATTCAACTAACCGTATTAAGGAATGTCTATACTCTGTCGGCCCAAAAGTTTTCTAGTTTAGATTTCGTTTGAGTGCAGTTCATCTCAGAATTTGCTTGAAAAGGTGCAGTAAAGGTGTAACTTAAAACCAGAATTGCTTTCGTTTCTCATTGTGCTGATCTAAAAACTAAAGCAACAAAAAATCTCACTGAACTAACATAAATTATATTTTATTGAGTTCTGATTAATAAATATATTTTATATAATCATTTATGTAGCATATAATTTTAACAATTTTTCATTTCTCTTTTTAAAAATAAATTAAGTCATTTGCTTTTAATTATGCATACAATGTAAAAAAAAAAGTTAGTTCAAGCATACACAGTTTAAATTATTGTGGTTTCACAGCATGAAACTTGGGTTTCTCATTTATTTAATGCAACCCAGCGTTCAAATTGCTCGTCCATATAATTTTATTTAGCACTATTTGCTTATATACAACAAACAATGTGGGTATACAACTGTACGTTAAAACCCAATCGATCAGTGAGAGCCAACGAGTATCTAAATTGGTAAAATACACGTCTAAATATTCAGCTTACAAAATTTCTAGATCACAATGTCGTATTTCGGGGAATTTCTTCTGAAAGGTGCAGAAAAATGTGGAATTAGAAATACTTTTATTTTTTTTTTTTATACAACAAAAAGCATACCCTTAGCTTCATTTCTATTCGATCGATTTCGCCACCCATGAGGTCAACAATATTTTCGCCGTGTTTGAGTAAGAATGCCTCCAATTCTTCAACTTTCTGGAATGATTGAACTGTCTGAAATGGGAACAAATTATTAAAAGAACTACATATTTATCAAAAAAAAAAATTGTTTCAATAGTGTTTTCAAACATATTCAGTCAATTTTGTAACTTCAAGACGACTGTTTTATTTCTCGTTTTTTACCCTTGACAATTTCCCGACAATTACCTGTAAGAGATCGTTTAGATCTTGTTTGTCCAAATATGAGCGCGTCAACTCGCGGCCATCGAAATCCATTTCGGCCTTAAAGATGGAAAAAAATACAAAACATTCGTACAATGCTTGATCTAAACGCCTATTTTAGGTTCCTTTGTCATATACCTTGTAGCGTACTAGTGAATTTCCCATATCAATACCTTTAACATCATGTATGGCGCGAATCATCACATCACTTTCCAGCTCAGCATTGATTTTGTTCAATAAATCTTCCGATATTGATCTAAAAGGACATGAACTCCATAGTAAATGCTCAGAAATATATATCCAAACAGCCACACTTACTTGCCCACAAGCGCCGCTGCATTTGTGTAGATAATAAAGGAGGCCACGGCACCCAAAATGCCGCCAACCAGCAATGAACCGACAGCATCAAACACCGGCAAGCCAGTAAATGAAGTGAGCCCCATGCAGGTTGCCGCCACAGCTACGCTCGTTACCGCAGCAGCATCCTCAGTGAGCACAACGTTAACACAGGGATCCTTACCGCTCAGTACTGAAAGTTTATCGTAAAAATATTAATTTATTTTTATTTAAAAAATAACGCAAACAAAGGCAAGGCTGTCGTCACCCACCATACTCCTTAAACGATACGCCATTACACTTGGCCGCGCGCTGCAATTCATTCAAAGCCACTATGAGCGTAGCGCCCTCAGACACCAGCGAACCGCCGAGTATAAAGAAGGCCCAGAAGAAATCTTCTACTGGTACCGGATGCAAGAGTCCTGTGATGCCGTGATACACTGACAGGCCAGCGCCCACACAAAATATGCCAACACCCGAAATGAGCGAAGAAACGTATTTCATATTACTATAGCCATAAGGATGATCCGAGTCTGCCATTTGTGTGGACTTGTGTATGCCATAGGCTAAGATAAGTTGATTTATTGTATCGGCCAGTGAGTGTATGCTTTCAGCAAACATACTATGTGAGCCGGTATACGCCCAACCGCAGGCCTTAAACAGAAAATTCAAGCTATTGCTGTGATACGAAAGAGCAAACGTATTAAAATATAGCACTGACTGACGTTTTTGTTTAGACATACTACTTACATGCCAATTGCTATGAGCACAACTTTGCCCGATTTCCCTGTCAAGCCAGGCTCCGCATCGACCACAACCGTGCGTGCGCCGATTTCACGTCGGTAGTCGCGCAAACGCCGCTTAACTGTGAAGAGATCTGCAAAATATAAATGCCTTAACAAGCCAGTGCGATAGAATGCTTTTTAAATCGCGTTATACTTTGTTGATGCTTCTTTCGTTCTATCTCACGCTTAAGTTGTTCCTTCAACAAATTCTCGCGTGAACCCCAGACACCTATAGCCTTCGCTTCCACATCTTTGCGCCAAAACACGGTTATGGGTGGCTCTTGTTCGTATGGCGAGCGTCGTTTTATTTTTGATAGACTGTCTAGGTCGGAGGCCTTCAGCAGAAAGTCGCTCATTGCGCGCGTTGGTGTAATAAAATTGCGCTCCAGGGAGGAGCGATTAAAGTCTACTAACACACGTTTCTATGTAATAGAAAAAACAATTTTAGTATGATGCGTACCGTAGTAAGTCATTTCTGGCATACGGGCTTCTGCATGACAGCTTCAGCAGTGTGTGTGCTCGTTGCAGTAATCTGAGCTGTAGGTGATGACTGTGCCTGCGCACTATTTGCTGTCACTTTGACTGCCTCTGGAGGTGTAACGACTTTGGCTATGGCTGCTTTAGCCTTTGCCGTTGCTGCTGCCACCGTAGCTGCGGTTGCGGCTGCATCTATTGTAGGCGACGTTTGCAATTGTGCAGCCGCTGCCTGCGCTGTTTCCTTTAACAACTCATTTACTGATATTTTGGCCGGTGGTATTGGTAAGTCTGTAACAGGAGCCTTCGTTTTCTCAATCACTATATCATTAATTTTGGAATCTTCAAATGTCGTCGTGATTAAGAGAGGGCCTTTGGAGGTTTTGATTTCTAATGTTTTTGTAGTTTCACCCCCTGTTGCAGGCTGTAGCGCAGGAGCTATATTGGCGCTCGAGGCAGTTTTGATTATTTGCTTAGGTTCAGTAGCCGATTTTTTGGTAGTTTTCACTTTTGATGTAGCCTCATTGCCAATACTTGTGGGTGAGCTAGACACAGCCGTTGCAGAAAGTGCCTTTAAGTAGTTATAATACAAATAAATGTAAATAGAACACTATGTGGATCAATGCAATAAAACCTTCACTTCCTTCTTGGAGTATGAGCGACCCCCAATAAAAGAAATTGCACAATTCTTCGACAACCTTTTGTTTGCGAAATATATGACATCATATGCGTTCAAGCGGTTATTAAACTGGAAAATATTTTTTAAATATATTATTTTTTTAACTGACATATTTCCGTATACAAACCCGTTTAATCAGGATGCTATTGATACACTCCATTCCATGCAAGCCTCGACGCCCAAAGAAACGCTGCCTCAAATGCAACAAGCGCAAAAGTTCTGTTGTACGCGGTAGCATAATGCCTTCCGAACAACACCAATGTATTAAGTGTTCTGTCACAGTTCACCAAGCAGCACAGCTGAATGCTTTTTTGCAAGTGTTAGTACACGAAATACGCTCTTTACCTGGCTAGTCAATGCTAAAAATATACTTTAAACAATGAAATAAATGCAAAAAATAGAAGCAAACAAAAGCGAAAGTCTTAGTTTAATAATCAAATTGTATTTACATGCAAAACAATTGAAAGTACTCTGCACTCGTTGGAAAGTCTTTTTGTTATCGAAGTGTTTGTACTGCTATGGTTCTTCCTTCTTTTCTGCTGCCTCCGCCAACCAATACACCAAGGAACACTACGTCATCGGCCAGCAGCCTAAGCAGGCTGCGTCAAATTCGAAGAGTCCACAGTTTTTTTGTTGAAAAGGACTATTTCTATCAATTTTAACCAAGGCTAAGTCTCATTTTCAATCGTAAAGTGCAAACAATTGAATTGTGAAGAATATTAAAATTGCTCCAGAAAACCAATAAATTTATAACAATTTTCCTGAACTTGCCAAATGTCAGAATTTTTGACAACTCCGCTTTTTGTTGTTTTTATACCGCTTTTGTTTTTGTCTAGCCTCCATCCAACAGTTTTACGAACACTAGTCTTGTCAATAGTGGAATTCAATGGAATGCACCCGGAAGTACAGGGTGTGTTCAACACCTTTTTTTTGTTTCCAACCCAAACGGTTCGAGACCAAAAGCACTTAGTTAAGCTGCGTTTACATGAGGCGATTCAACATTGCTCTGGAAAAATCGCACGTGTAAATAGTGATTCAAAAATCCCTTGCCTCAGAGTAGAGAGAAAGGCAAATTTTGCATGCGCTTATCGCCTGTTGTTGTTGTTGTAGCGGCTACAACAACCCCGCCCAGATCGGTTGGTATCTCAGTCGTTGTCGTCAAGTTCCACTAACGGCAACCCTAGGAAGCGTGCAGCTTTTGTGGGATTTGTCCACAGGGACAAGGCCGTTAGGGTTGTCGGGTTTTCCGGGCATGCGAAGAGATGTTTCGAGTCATGTGGGGTCTCTCCGCATGCCGGACACTCATTCGGCACATCCTCATTCAACCTACTCAAGTAGGAGTTCAACCTGCTGCAGTAGCCGGAGCGAAGTTGTGCGAGTGTAGTGCGTGTCTCCCGAGGCAGATGAAGCTCTGTCTCGTCTATGTCCGGGGGTGGTATGCCTAGAACGGCATTCACAGGTCTAGAGTCTACATAACTCAAGACTGAGTCCCTGTGAATGCCGTTCAGGGCCTGTCTGTACGCTGTCGGGTCCAGAGGTTGCTTAATGAACCTCTGGACTTCGTCCGTCAGTTCATATAGATGCCTCCTGATGTGCCTAGGCGAGGGCTCCTCTGCAAGCAGCTGTCTGCTTGGGTGGCCACTTCTGTGGCTCCCGATCAGGAACTGCTTGCAGAGCATTATGTTATGCTCCTTAACTGGGAGCATTTGCGCCTCGCCGTGCAGGTGGTGTTCAGGCGACATCAAGAGGCATCCCGTCGCTGTCCTAAGTGCCGTATTTTGAACCGTCTGTAGCTTCGTCCACTGCGTCCTACTAGGCCCTGGCGACCACACTGGCGCTGCGTAGTTTAAAACCGGCCGGCATATTGCCTTGTATGTTGCCAGCAACGTTTCTTTGTCTTTGCCCCAAGTACTGCCGGCTAGCGACTGGAGGACCTTGTTGGGGAAAGGACACCACCCTGAGGAACCCCTGTTTTATTTTACGCTGCTTACTCGTTTTGTCCCTAAATATTACCGACGAATGTCGACCACTCAGATAATTTGCCGACCACCGTTTGAGTCTCTGTGGGAGAGAGGAGGTCTCTATATCTTCTAGTAGCGTGGAATGGCAGACGGTGTCAAACGCCTTTGACAAGTCCAACGCTACTAGAATCGTTCTCTCACAGGGACGGTTACGGTTGAGGCCACGAGTTATCTGAGTGTTTATGGCGTTAAGTGCTGTTGTTGTACTGTGCACTTTACGGAAACCATGCTGATGCTTCGCTGGGGTCAGGTGGTTTGTGAAGTACGGGAGTAGCAAGGCCTCGAGTGTCTTCGCTACCGGGGAAAGGAGTGTAATCGGACGATACGAATCTACTTTGTTGGCGGGGTTCCCTGTCAAAAAATCTCCTTTTGTAAAGGCAGCCCCTTTTGGCACTCCATAGCACCAGCAATATAAGTATGAACCAAACAATTTTTATACCATTACAACCAGAAAAAAGGGCGGACCACGTCTTCGTTTTTTCTGGGTTAACGGATCGTATGCACTTATGCCAAATCCTAATTTTCATGTTTTGGCGTTTTCGTACGTAAACTTGTAAAGTAGAGGAAAATGAGGGAGCGAAATGACCACTGAAGTTGCAAGTTTTTACTATATTTTAACTGAATAAATTTTTGTTTGTAAGAATTTGTCAGTACGAAAAACAGCTCTCTTAATCACGACGACAATTGAGCAAAATTAGCGAAAGCGAATGCTGGAATCGCGCTGCCGAAAAACGTTGAAAGTCCGTTTCACCTCTCTGCGACATCATCTAATTCCACCTTAATATTTTTCCGATTGGCATTCCGCCAATGCGACCCTGCCCGACCAGCTGTTTTCAGTTTTTTGTTTTGCTACAGGTTTTCTTGAATTTAACCGGCTTTGACAGCAACGTGCCCGATAATTGTTTTGTAATCACGTCCGTGTATATTTTTATATAAAAATACATTTTTATAAAACTGAAATATATACATTTTAAGAACATGCTGCGCAGCTTTACACGTCTCACCTCGCCCAGGCTACTTAACGCGTTGCGCACTTTTGCCACAGCAGACACAGGAAAAGAAGAAATCTTAGTTGAACGTCTCGGAGGGGAACGCAAAGGCATTACGGTGATCAGCCTCAACCGACCACAAGCAAAAAACTCCTTTAGCCGTAGTTTGGTTAAAGCTTTCGAAAATGTTTTGGATGAATTGGAGCATGATAACGGCTCTCGCTGTGTGATTTTACGTAGCGCGTCACCCGGCATTTTCTGCGCTGGCGCTGATCTCAAAGAACGCAAAACAATGACACAAGAGGAGGCTACGGAATTCGTCACAAATTTACGTGAATTGTTGATGTCACTGGAACAGTTGCCAATGCCCTCGATAGCTGCGCTCGATGGTGCGGCAATTGGTGGTGGACTTGAAATGGCTTTGGCTTGTGATATGCGTACCGCATCCGAAGATACCAAAATGGGTTTGGTAGAAACACGCCTAGCTATTATACCCGGTGCGGGTGGCACCCAACGTCTGCCGCGTATACTTTCACCGGCACTGGCCAAGGAGCTCATCTTTACATCACGTGTGCTAAACGGCAAGGAGGCTAAAGAGTTGGGTATAGTTAATCATGTTGTACCACAAAATGAAACTAAGGATGCAGCATACCTGAAAGCTTTAGAAATCGCTGAGGAAATATTACCAAATGGACCAGTTGGTGTACGCATGGCTAAATTGGCTATAGACAAGGGCATGCAAGTTGACCTGAACACAGGTTACTCCATTGAGGAGATATGCTATTCGCAGGTTCTGCCAACCAAAGATCGTTTGGAAGGTTTGCAGGCATTCGCCGAGAAACGCAAGCCAGTGTATAAGGGAGAATAGGGAAGCTTACACTGAGTGTTGGAATGCGATGGGTTACTTAGTTATACTTAAGAATTATTGGGGGAAGCGAGCGAGTTTTAATTTTTTGGAAGGCAATAAAAATGGTAGTTTATAAAGGCTAAATGAATTTGTTTTAAATAATTAATTTTATTTTTGATTTGGTTTACTCTAACTTGACTGTAACAAATATGTTTTGGTCGAAATATAAAACTCTTATGTATGACTTATCTAAATGAGTGTTCTTATATATGAAAATCATTCACTTGCTTCAAAGTGCATTTATATTTCATTGTTTATTTTTGGTGTCAACCGACATGTTAAATAAGAGGATTTCAATAAACTGATTTATTAAAATAAATGATAATTTGAACTACTGGATATGAATGAGAAACTAAATAAAATTATGCATAGTTAAAACATACACAGAATTTTTAGAAAAATTTAGAAAATTTAGTCTTTCCATATACATACAACTATGTGTATGTATTTACTTACATCATTTATGGCGGGTAAACTAAAGTAATTCAAATACGCTTATTTTTCAATGAACTCTTCAAAATATCTTTGAGATCACCAAACACCTTCATTCGTTCCTCTTCCAAACGTAACTTTTTACGTTCAATTTCCATTACTTCATCATGACGAGCTTGTTCTCGGTTTGCTTGCTCTTTTAAAAATCCAAGGAAATCAGCCGCCGCATCACTCTTGCGTTTCTTGCACTTTGAACACCGTGCTGGTTTCACTTCTACAATGTTTTCTTCTTCATCTGTTGCATGTTCTAAGGTCGGCTCTGTCAAGTCCTTTTTGGTATTTATCGAGTATCGCGTGCCGTAAACCTCATCAAAATCATCGAAAAATTCCCAGGAACTTGAAGTTCGTCCTTTTGACATAATTCGATCCTTTATCCGCTTGTAAGTGGTAGAAAGATTCAAAAACTTGCGTATAACTTCATCTTTCGTCAATTTAAATGTTGGAATTTGTTCCTTAATTTCCTTGAGCACTTCACCCCAAAGTACTGATTTCTTTTTCCGGCCTTCATTGAATTGATCTTCCATAGCAAGCCGAGTTTTTACTAAAAGTTTTAGTTCATTCGCAGTTTTGTCATGAAGACAGCTATTAAAAGAAATAAATAATAAATACATATGTGCATATGTATGAAGTCGTTATTATAGCATAACTTACTCATCCATTTGTTGATTATCCAAGAAACTTTTTGCCTCCTTCATTTTATTTTTTATAAATTTAGCAACTTTGCTGCATACAACGCAGTATTTTATTTTAATGTTGCCGCAGTGTTGCCAATTGTTTGAGTTAATGCTGCGCGATCCACAATGTAGAGAGACGCCATCAGCAGTGTTTTTGTTTTTGGCGAGTTTGACAGCATCAGCTGTTTGTGGGACGTCATCATAGAAATCAGTGCTGCCGTTTAAAATTTTCGAGCGTAGTGAAAACACCTAAAAGTGAAGCGTTTCGAAGTGACTTGGATGGCAAAGTGAAGTGATTACCCAAGAATGATAGAATACAAGATTGCGCCGATCAGAGAGGATTTTTGAGAATAACTTTTGTGTGACGTCACACTGGTGCAATTGCGAGAGAGAAATGCCAAAACGTGAGCAAGAATGGAAGAAGAAGAAAAAATGTTGCAAGGAAAACGTAAACATGTTGCACCAGTGTGACGTCATGCAAACAACGATTCTGTCAAATTCGTTAAGAGAAGAATAGCGGTCCGAGATCGGCGCAACCTTTGTATTCTCTCAATCGTGGTGATTACCGAAGTGACGACTTTCAAGCATAATTAGGGTTGAAGGATTTTTCGATTAGGTGATTTATCAGCTGATTGTTTAATTGATAATATTTTTATCACAATAATATTAATATTTAACCTTTATCAATTTATAATTTATTGTGTTCCTGTACGAATTTAGTGCTGGAATATCTTTAAAATCACAATGTCTCAAACGCTGAGGAAAGAAAATCTAAAATTACAGTTAACTGATGAAACTAACGCTAAAATATAATTAATCGATTACCGATTAACAGCAACAATGGGATCACCAGGTTCACTTAAATGTTTCCTTTTTGCTGTAAAATTGTATTATAATTACTGTAAAATAAGATTGTTATTTTCGTTTAATATTTACTAAATAATTATGAAACTGTACATCTGTACATGTGAAAATGAAAATCAAAATGACTTCTTCCAAATAACCGATGCCAGATTGAAGATTTATTAGGCGCCTTTTTAGTAGCTTTTTGCGAAAAGTTACTCTGCCATACTTATCATTACAAGGATTTTAGCAAAAGTTTGTTGATTTTAGTTATATAAATCATTTATTTCAAAGCATTTTTTATTTATTTTGAAGATAAATATAATATGTGGAAAGTGAATTAAATAAAGTGAAATGAAGTGACGAAGTGAGGGCTTCCAAATTGAAGTGACAGCGGCAGCACTGATAAGCTGAAATTAGTCAAGAACGTAAACCTACCGGTAAGTAAAACCGAGTCAGCTGACACGATCTGTCTTACCAGAGCGCCATGTAAATGAAAACTCAACACCGCAGAATTTTTCTGTAGTTGTAGCCCGTAGCGCAGAAATCTGCGGAATTTAAGGCCCGTTTACATACAACTTTGGCGTTGCGTTGGCGTTGGCGTCGCTTCGACAGCTGACTATGAATACATGCATTTATATGAAAGTCTCCATATAACCAAAGTTGGGCAACGCCAACGCCAACACAACGCAGAAAGATGGCCAACTCTCAACTTTTCGCGCGCGTCGTTCGTCAGCTGTTCTAAATAATCAAAATTATGTGATTTAATTTTTATTTTTAATCAAATGCGGGCAAGAAATATAGTTTTTAATGCAATTATTGATGTAAAAATTTTGATTTATCAGCCGCTAGTATGTCAATTTAGTGACCAAAGTATTCTGTGCTAAGCGTTCATTGTAGCAAGCACGGGCGTTACGCGCGCCGCTGTCAAAGCGACGCCAGCGCCAACGCAACGCCAAAGTTGTATGTGGACGGGCCTTTAGATTTTTCCGTGTCAGCTGATTTCTTCCTTCTATAGATGGTTGCCACTTCGTCAGTTTTGCCGATGGTAAAAAATTTATAACTTCCTATTCAAATTACGTTTAAAATATTTGAAATTTACTACTGAATAGGGTTTTTTGTTGAAAACTAAGTAGCTAATATTTAGCTACGATCTATTATAGCACGAAAAACTGTAGTTGAAAAGGTAAGTTTATGAAAAGGCATTGATGAGTGGCAACACTGTAGTAAGCAACGCTGAGAACTCTAGTAATTGACGAAATTCTGCGTATACAGACTGCGTTTAAGTATACGTTCTGCGTTCTTAATTAATTTCAGCTATAGAAATCTCTGCGCTAAGTGTGTCCTCGTACGGATTGTTACCAATAATTATTAATAGTTTTTACTAGTAAATGTTTCTACCATAAAAATGAGCAGAAAGATCGCTAATACTATGTTCATGTTGAGCCATTAGCTCGAGTTTATGGGCCATTTAGGAGTTAAACGTTAACACTACTCATTAACTCAGAGTTTGCCATACCAGAGTTGGGCAAAATTTATTCGAATGAGGAATAACAAATGAATAAATTGTGTTTCTTGTTATTCGTAAATAATAAATAATTTTGTTTATTCAAAAAAAAATTATTCGAATGACGGATAAATTATTTTATTCGTTATTCGAATAACTATTATCTTCATTAATTATTCGAATAACGAATAAAATAATAACAAAACAAGTAATTTATGTATATAGATATGTACATATATTTATGTATAAAATGATAACCGTTTTTGTTACGATTTAGCTCAAACCCCTGGATAGATATAAATCAAATTTTCGGAGGTTATTCCATCTATTTATTGTACAATCAGGTTGCAATTCATAATGGTGCTGCAGTCGAAATCATTAGAAACCCCATATGTCTGGACTACTTTGTTTTTTATGTTTATATTATACGAATTTACGATGTCTCACGTCGTCATACACCCTAAATGCGACCTTGCATCTACCTCCGCTTGATGAAATTGCTCGGGCGGCCATTGCTGCAGCAGTAAGACTCACTGCCGTCCCTAAATTGGAGCGCTAAGCGTTACGTTATCCATTGTCAACGAGTGTCAGCGCGCGCTATCCCCAAATCAACGCGTCGTAATTTTTGACGTTTTCTCAGGTCCTCTCGTTTTTATTCTCGTTTCCTCTTTCACTTGTTTGTCCTTTCTCTTTCTTTCCGTCTTCTGCATCCAACTTCAACACGTAACGCCCTGTCAAAAATGAAAATTCCATTTGCTCGGCGTAAGCGCCGCGTTATTGTGGGATGCTTCATACAAATTGTATGGGCATGAGGATTTTTGACAGTTGCTTGGCGCTTGACGCGCCAATTTAGGGATGGCAGTCAAGGAAACCAGCTCTTGGATATTTTAAAAGTGGCGAATCAGCAAGGAAAGTTTCGACCACATCCTTCCAAGAAAGACCACTGTTGGTATATCAATGATCAAATTTTACATCGAGGATTTTTGGCTCTCCTATAATAGAAAACGCACATCTGTGCTCTTCAGCTTCCTTATAAGGACTTTTGTTGGCCTACATGACATAAGACTAGAGGTTGACGCATCGGACCAATGTTGTAGTTGCAAGATCATAGAAGAAGATTACGCACGCTTAAAAAAGATCTCACAAGTGGAAATAAGACCATCGGTAAAGCACATGACATTGAAAGGAATTTTTTCTTGCATATAGCATCAGAGCGCTATTTTTTTGGCAGAAATATGTGTGAGAAGGGTTCTGCTCTTTAGTTGTTCAACCTAAATTAAGAATTTTTACTTTACCCATATTTGGTTTTCAACGCTATTCTTGCATTGGCCAACGCAAAAAATCTTATCAGGGGCCGCGAAACCAGAGGGAATGGGCTAGTATTCTTGAGAAAATAGTAAACAGAATTCAGCTAACTCACAATCCTTGAAAATAGAAATAAAATTAAAAGGTGGCTCAATGTGTTAAAAATGAGTTTTTATTCATTATTTAAAATAACGAATAAAATAACGAATAAATTATTCGCAAGCAATAAAATAACGAATAAATTATTCGTGAATAAGTTATCTGCGAATAATTATTTTACGGATAAAATTTTATTCGAATAATTATCTAAATAACAATTTATTCGAATAATGCCCAACTCTGTGCCATACAAATAATTTTCGTTAGGCGAGTTAAATGGCAACGACCATGAACCGTGGAAAAAAATCTTACTCGGCTAATTAATTGGGGTCAGAGTTTTGAGTCAGATAGAAGCCAACAAAATACATACAAACATACTTGTAAATACATAAGTATTGAAGTTAACAAAACTTTTGCACTTGTTTAAACACTACGACAAGGGCCCTTATTATCCTTATAGTTTTCATTTGTTTAAATAATTCATTCGATTTAAACAAAAAGTTTTGTTTTCATTACCATATTCAAATGTACATATGTATTTAAGCAGTGGAGTAGGGCTGTGCGATTAATTGATTACTCAAAATTTTAATTAATCATAAAGTAAATAACTCAATTATTCGATTAATTGGAAATTATGATTACTCAAAAGTTCAGTTACTCGAGTAATCAAGATTTTTGATTAACCAAAAACAAAAATATTTGAGTAAAATGCTTTATGATTAATCAACATTTCGAGTAAAATGAGTAATCAACATTTCAACTCTTTACATATGTATAAGTAGTTAAAGTTCCTTGATACTTTGAAAACAATGTTTCTGTTTTCAAAAATTAAAGCAAACAATTTTTTTCATATACAGAATGTAAAAAAGAAAATAAGCTTTTTCCAAAGCAAACTCTATTAACGAGCAAAATTATTTTTTTAGAGTAATCATATTTCAAGTAACTCGATTAATCATCGTTTTGAGTAATCAAAATCTTGATTACTCGAGTAATTGATTAACCGAATAATTGATTAACCAACTTGCTCGAGTAATCGAATAATCGCACAGCCCTACAGTGGAGTAAGTTTTAAAAACTGTAAATTGACATTATGGAATATACACACATACATACATACATACATATGTAATGTATTTAAGTGGAAAAATTTATTTATGTTGTATTTGCTTCAGGGCGCTACAAAATTTAATTAGTACATGTACTATTTACACTCCCACATCGACAATTGCTTTGAAAGTTCAAGCACACTACAATGACATTCGAGCGTGTACGACACGTTTCCCGAAGTGTTAATGATAAAAAATAAAATAAATATTGTAATGCAATTAAGTAATATCTATGTATAATTCGA